CTTAGAGATGACCTTGTAAACTAAGTTACATAGACTGATTGGTCTGAACTCATTCAGCTTCTTTGGATTTGCAACCTTAGGAATAAGCACAATAGTAGCTGAGTTTACCTCATCCGGCATGTGTCTAGTCTCGAAGAACAACCTGACAGCCATCATTACATCCTCTTTCCTTAAAGCCCAATTCCGCTGAAAAAATCGAGCCGGAAATCCGTCTGGACCCGGGGCTTTTAGTGGCCCAATCTGGAACAACGCATCACATATTTCCTTATCCGTGAATGGAGCACAAAGAGCAGTATTCATATCAACGCACAGCGAGGGTTTTAGTTAGCTATATACAGGCTTACGGCCACAGGCGAGATGAATCGATCAATGATTCTCCTCCACAGTAGAGTCCACTGCTTCGGGGTTTAAAAAATGTACAGCTAAAAAACAAGAATTCAGCATAAGAAGCCAGTTTGCTATTCCAGGTACGTCATCCTACAACATTCTTAAAAATTGGATGGAGTTATTTTTAAGGTGGATTTCGAGAAAGCGTACGATAAAGTAAAGTGGCCATTCCTACAACAAGCGTTGCGTATGAAAGGTTTTGATGAAGTCTGGCGACGCCAAGTTGAATCATATACGCAAAAAGGGAGTGTTGGAATTAAAGTGAATGACGAGATTGGTCATTATTTCTAGACACAAAAGGCCTAAGACAAGGGGATCCGATGTCCCCTATTTTGTTCAACATTGTAGTTGATATGTTGGCAATTTTGATAGGAAGGGCTAAGGAGGCTGGTCAAGTGGGGGGCCTTGTACCTCATCTCGTTGATGGAGGGGTGTCCATCCTCCAGTACGCCGATGATACAATCATCTTTATGGAGCACGACTTGGCAAAAGCGAGAAATATGAAGCTAGTGTTATGCTTATTTGAACAATTGACTGGGTTAAAGATTAACTTTCACAAAAGCGAATTGTTCTGCTTTGGTAGAGCCAATGATGAACAAGAGGCCTACAAGCAATTGTTTGGGTGTGATTTGGGGGCTTTGCCTTTCACATACTTAGGAATACCAATCCACCATCATAAGCTGACAAACAGAGAATGGAAGTGCATCGAGGACCGATTTGAAAAGAAACTGAGCTGCTGGAAGGGCAAGCTCATGTCATAAGGAGGCCGCTTAATTCTGATAAATTCGGTTCTCACGAGTATGCCTATGTTTCTTTTGTCTTTCTTCGAAGTCCCAGTTGGTGTTAGCAAAAGACTGGACTTTTATCGATCCCGATTCTTTTGGCAGGGTGATGAGCTAAAAAGAAAATACCGTTTAGCCAAATGGGATATCATCTGTAGACCGAAAGACCAAGGGGGTCTTGGGATTGAGAATCTTGAAGTCAAAAACAGATGTCTTCTCAGCAAGTGGTTGTGCAAGTTATCTAGCGGAACTGACGCCACTTGGGCACAAATCCTTCGTAGTAAGTATCTTCAAACCAAAACTTTGTCTCAGGTCACAGTAAGACCAACTGATTCACCCTTTTGGAAAGGGCTTATGAAAGTAAAGCTTTCCTTGTTTAATAGGACAAAGTTTATTGTTGGTGACGGAGCCAGTACGAGATTCTGGGAGGATACTTGGCTCGGAGAGGTACCCCTATCCGCATGTGTAGAATACTAGCAAGAGAATATCCCTCCTTTTTTATGTAATTGAAATGGTATTGACGAATAACAAATAAACATACTAGTGTTTATTAGTGTCGCATAAAACCCGAAATGGGGCGTGGCCAAGTGGTAAGGCAGCGGGTTTTGGTCCCGTTACTCGGAGGTTCGAATCCTTCCGTCCCAGATTGTTTCTGATGAAACAAACGGTGAAATCATATAGTATTCCGTACGAGACAAAAGTTTATTAAAGAGAATAATGATATCTTATTCTTTCTCAGAAAACATAATAAAGTCTTAAGTCCAGTCAAATTGACTATCTTTATTTTCATGAAAAAATGGGATCTATCATGCACATTCAGGATATGCCTCTACTATAAAATCACTTAGTCATATTTTTTTCTTCCTTTTGGTATTCGAGTTGAAGAAGTACGAGAATTCTATAACTACCAAAAAATTTCAATCTTTTCATTGGAATAGTTTATTTAGTTATTATAGTTAATTGTTTTTGGTACTGAAAAGATATATTACTACTAGAATTCTAATTCTAGTAATTAAATTAATTAAACTTTTTTGGAGGTTGATAGTTTATTTATTGAGGAAGAGTCAATCCTTCTTTTCTCACTTCAAGATTGATCATCTCGAGCCATCCGTTGAGGGTGGAAATTTAAGAATAAATAAGTTTTAAGCAAACTTGTTTAGTCGTCTTTTTCAAACTATGTTTCATTCATATGATAGAATTTTAATATGGGTTTAAATAAATTGGATCTTGGCGGAGGCTTCCCGGATAAATACTTACTTTCTTTTATCCATATTGCTCCATAGATAGCAAGTTTTAATTAGTATAAAAAAACTAAACCAATGACTATTCATGATTCCATCCATATTGGATCAATTCTCTATACCACTTTGCAATGAAAAGAGGAATGTTTGTTATGGTAAAACTTCGTTTAAAACGATGTGGTAGAAGGCAACGTGCGACTTGAAGGACATGATCGATTGTGGATTTTGCTATCCATCATTTTCCATAGTAATGAAAATGCTCTTGGCTCGACATAGCCTGTTCTATTTGTTCCGAACCAAATTTGCGCTGGGTTTAAGTAACATAGTACACGATGGAGCTCGAGAGGACGGAATTTTTTTATCAAGGGAAAGAATCTAGGGTTAGTGAAAAATAATAAATTAGGCCAACTTTGTCAGTCTATCCTTAATATGGAAATAAATCGAAAGGTTAAAATAAGAAGAAAGTCCAATAAAAGTATATCAGAATCAATCCCTCTTATTAGATTTCTATAGAAGAGATAAATGCTTTATCGAAGGAAATAATAAAAAAAGGTATGTTGCTACTCTTTTGAAAGAAAAAAAATAGGAATTCCCGAAGTAATGTCTAAACCCAAGGATTTCACAAATCAAAGATAAAGGATTCCAGAACAAGTAAACACAATTTTTAATTGTCTCAACAACAGAGTTGGATTAGAATAAGGAATAAAAGTCAATTCGTTCGAAATGAGACAAAGAAAAGAGTTTAAAGACGACTCAAAAATTTTGGAAGGATTTTGCCTTCAAAGTTTGTCAGGCAAAATTAGCCCACTTGAGTCATGAGCATAAATGAAATTTGTTTTTTCTGTAAGGAAATTAATGCACGTCATAGTCTAATTTCTATTATTATCGACTGAAATTTGAATCATTTTCTCGAGCCGTATGAGGAGGAAACCTCCTATACGTTTCTAGGGGGGGCGTTGTTTATCTACATCTATCCCAATAAGTTGTCTATCGAATCGTTGCAATTGATGTTCGATCTCGAAGAGAAGGAAGAGATCTTCAAAAAGTAGGTTTTTATGATTCGATAAAGAATCAAACTTGTTTAAATGTTCCAGCTATTCTCTATTTCCTTGAAAAGGGTGCTCAACCAACAAGAACTGTTTATGATATTTTAAGGAAGGCAGAAATCTTTAAAGAAAAAGAAAGAACTTTGAGTTAATTGAAGAACTAAATGAATCAAAAAGTAGGATAGGAGAAGATTATTAGTATTCCTAGTTGTCTAATTATTTAGACACAATTTACCTCTTTTTTAATCCTATTTGGATTTATATATATCGTGCCAATCCAACATAAGCCCCTATTCGGAGAGGTATTGTTCAACGACGTGAGGTTTTTGTTGCAACGGTATTTCAATCAATCCCCCTTAATATTCAGTTCAGAAGGGCGTTAGTGGGCAATCATTGGGAAGAATGGTTACATCTAGTAAGGAGACTGATGGACGTTCAACTTTCCCAATAACCCGATAAATTACGCTGGAAGCTTACTAGGTCGGGAGAATTTATAGTTAAATCAATGTATGTTGATGTGATCAATTCAAGCTCGATTCCTAGTTCCAAACATGTGTGGGCTATCAAAGTTCTTTTGAAAATTAAAGTGTTTATGTGGTTTCTCCACAAACAAGTTATTTTAACCAAGGACAAATTGACAAAGCGTAATTGGACAGAACCTACTAGGTGTAGTTTCTGTGATTGGGATGAAACGATTAAACACATTTTTCTTGATTGCCCACTAGCTAAAGTTTTATGGAGGACAGTCCATATTGCTATCAATATTTCTCCACCAAGTTCAGTCAACACGTTATTTAGAATGTGGCTTAACGGGGTAGAGCCCGAGTTAGCGCGACATATTCGTGTAGGAGTCTGCACCTTGGTGTGGGCGCTCTGGAATTGCAGGAATGATTTGGTTTTTAACAGGACAACACACATTCATTTTTTGCAGGTTATTTTCAGAGCTACGACGCTGATCCATTCCTGGTCGCTACTCACTTCGACGGAGGCCAGGGAGCGTTTGGTTACTGGATCTATCCGTTGGGAGACGGTAGCTCGGGATATCTTCAACCGGTTTGGATGGCGGTCATGTAATAGGATAGACAATTAGTTTACCTATCTCTTTTTAGCCAGCCGGTTGTGGCATCCTTCTTTTGGCTAGTTTGTGTTTCTAGCCTTTTTGGTTCTGTGTGAGCCTTTTTTTTATTTACTTTTTGCTTTTGGAGACTGTGAGACCTTGTTGGATCCTATTTATTTGGATTAATAAAATGATCGTATGCATCATTCTCATACAGAGGTTGGGGAGCCCTCCCTTTTCGAAAAAGAGTACGTCATCCCGTATATATATGTGCGCACAGCATGCGGCGGAATCCTTCAGAATATACCCCAGTATCTATCCATCGCATTCCAAAAAAGTTGAGGATTGATATGGAGGCATGGAGCCGAACTCAATCTACAGACTACGTGGCCCAGTTCAGTACGACCATATTGTACCCGGAGTCCCACAAGTTTGTTCCCCAAGCCAAGGCCACTTACCCTAGGTTAGAACAGCAATAGTGGGACGTTCACATCAAGTAGGCAACAAGGGCAATGGAGAAGGTCGTGATGACCAATACACATACAAGCGGTTCCCAATATCTCCCAATCTCATGAGTTGCAATTTGAGTCCCGGTGGAAGACCACATCAGAACCATGGCAAACTTTGAAGTACCTCTTTGTTGTTCTCTTTCACTTTTGTAAGAACTACTGTTGTTCTGTCTATAATGCTCTACCATCTTATATAACTTGGTTCGCTGGAAGCATATGCATCATTTTATTATCACTTCTATTTATTTATTTTTTGAAGAAAATGTTTCACTAAACAAAGGCTATTAATTATTTGCCATGGCCATGAGTGCGAAGCATGTGGCTCCTGACTAGCACCACTTTCTTTTCTCTTGTGAAATTTAGGTGCATGTCTTTATGAAGGTCCAGGTCAAGGCAATAGCTAGCTCATGGGTTTTTCGCTGGCAAGTGCCACTTATATATGTGCGGCCACAAGAAACTTGTGATCTGTGAATAAGATAGTGATTAAATTGATTTTAAAAAAATGACATGTCAAATATAAAGGAAATGGAAGACTACCTTAGGAATACGATGGCATTGGGCTTCTGGCCCTTTAATAGAGGCCAGGAGAGAATCTGAGCTTTGTTCGGAGCATTACATCTTTTTGAATAGGAAATGATGTGGCTAAAACTGGGTGTTGGTCCCTTATCTACAACTAGTAGAATGCCCGTGCGCTGCTACGGGCACAAGAGAAATATAGATAAGCACAAAGGCATAAGTTGTGGTCATCTTTTATCTTGTTCACCAAGATGCAAACCCTCGGCTTTTCTACATACATAGATAATGTAATTCTAGATACATATCAGAATTGTGAGAAAAATTGTGGGAATACATAAGACAATCATTCTCTTCTCTCTGTTTCTTTCTATTTACTCCTCGCTCAAAACCGCATCAAGACATTGACACCATCTTCATTCTATTTACTCCTCAGTCAAAGCCGCAAGAAGACATGACACCATCTTCATTCTCCCTTCCAGCATCCTATTTTCAGCGAACCCTACGACCTCATCTCCGATATTGCTATCACATAGTGATTGCTCTTCTTTGTCATGGTTCATATCCTTTCTATCCATGGATGATAGTACATTAAACACCTTACGTTAATATTCTCTCACTATCACATACATTTGATAATAGTGACAAGTGTCTAGACATATCAACATATTGGTTATGCATTTCTAGAAATATATTATACACATACCATGGTCCTAATATGTGTTGTCGTCTTCCTTTGTTTCCTTTCATATTTATAACACTGAGTTAAAATAGTCCATTGCCTCCAATGCCATTGTGACATTGCATTGCTCCACACTGTGTCGTAGATGTTGTGACACGCCAGGGTTCTCTTTTAGATGAAAATATGATAAATAGCTAGTCCTTGCTGGCAATTATAAGGAGTAAAATACATAATTACAAAGAAGGTTGGTTCGTTTATATCTTTGTAATTTCTTATCTACAAAATCACATCAAAATGTTCAGACGTGCATTCATGTGTGTACATGCTAGTATTACCATGAGTCAATCTAAAAAAGAAATGGCAATTTACTTCCAAGACAGGTTAAAAAAATTAGGAACTTTTGTGTACGATTGACAGCAAAGATTATGAGTTGAAATCTTCCATGGGTTCAATTCAACCTGTACCACCGGCACCCCTGCACTTTCGCACAAACTCTCTACCCCTATAAAATCTGCAAAAGAAAAAACAACATTTCCAACATTAGAACATGATTTAGAATTTCCAAGGACTTGAAATGACAGGATACAAAGTAACATGGCACTCTTCTGTTAGTAACATGACGCTCTTCTGGTAGGCATAGACCGGCAAATATTAACCCCCCCCTACCCACCCAAAATCATATAAATATAATTTTGAACTTATGTTTTTAAAAAGTAAGGGTATGATGATACATAGGCGTAAATCAAACTGAAACCGAAATTGTCGTTCATTGATCCAACATTACCACACATGCTTATCCTGTATATTTGTTGTCTACCCATCAAGATCTTTCATAAGATATTTCTACTTTCGAATATCCTATTCCGAAATAAAAAGTACAATCATAAAAGGAGAACCCAAAGTTTCTTCTCGAACATAAATCGACCCCCACCCCCCTCCCCCACCAGCCTGTTCTAGTTGCATTGAACCATACGCAAACCTTTTCTCTTGCACATCTGTGTAAGTATAAAGTAAAAAAGAAATCCTATGTTATTGAATATTTCCAATATATAATATGGTAGTGTGACCTATAAAACAAAATGCATGAAGAATTATTGGCGTGCATTTTGTAGAGTCAAAGAATACAACTTTTGGATGTAAAACGTGAATCGGTTTTTACCAAACAGCACATGGAGTTAAATGGAGCGGCATCCAGTAGTGCAAACAAGCTTGGACTGTACCAAAAAAATACAAGTTATAGAAGCTTGTTACATGGGTGCACTTCTTAGAAGCAATGAGCTTGTTAATGATGTGATGGAATTAGGGCAAGAATAATATAAAATAAACAAACTTCAGAGTCATAGTATATTTATGAAATGATAAATTTAATATGGGAACTTTCTGAACACGCATAAAATGACAACGCCTAAAATATGATATTACTGAACTAAATGATAGATGTTCTCTTTTGCTTCTCCATTCTGCTGACCACATGATGTCTTAGATTTGTTAAATACGAATGTATCAAGTCATATTTTAGTATTAGATACATCAGTATCTAGACAAATGTAAGACAAGAATTTTGGGACAGAGGGAGTAAGAAACAAGATATTTTTCTGAACTACAAAGCTTACACGACGATTCGTCAAATATAGTACATAGTTAACTCACATAGCGTGTTTCTTTAGAAGTTCAGATACATGCCTTCTATTATCTAAAAAAAGATGCATACCTCAATCGCACCAATAACTTGGTGATGTGAAGCAATGAATGAAACAAGCATGATTTTAGAGAAGGTAAGCAAAATTTTATGGCGTGCTACCAATTCCTCCAATCCCCTCAACACAGCATGTGCAGACTGCAGTAATGTAGTAGTGCCGATTGCGTTTGTTCCTGGAAGGGAATCAATACAATTTGAGAAAGCATACATACGTTCAAGACCAACACAGTTTGTGCCATACTAATTGACCCTAGAAACCTCATTAGTCCAAAATAGATCACCAAAATTTACTATGTACAACCATTCACATAGAGAACCAAGATCCAATCTAATGGTAGCTAACAAACATCGGAACATGAGGGGAATAAGGAAGGAAGTCAAGCGTAGGTTTACCTTGGGTGATGAAGGATCCCCGACGTGCCACTGGCGCCACGCTATGTAGGGGCATCCGCATCTCCAGACCTGACGCCGCTGACCTGCAAGCAATCTCGACATAATTAACATCCGTATTAACGATCTCAGCTTGCAGCCGCCGCCGTCTTCTGTCGATGTCGATCCATCTCCAGAGCAGGTACTGACGCATCCACCTTGCCAGGCCTATCGTCAATGCCACCACGGCGTTAGACAACGCCACCATCCTGCACATATCCATCCACACGCGCCCGTCGTCGGAACTCCGTGGCGCCTTGCAGTAGATGTAACACCGTTCCCCCTCTTGTCCCCTCTAGCCAACACTTGATCCAAAGCAATGCTCCCAGGAGGGAGAACGACACCGAAGGCGCCGTCATTGTCCGATCCGGTAGACCCAGATCTAGGGTTTCCCCCAGAACATCCCGATCGAGTTCACGTGACCTGCAACGACAAGGCCTTGAGAAGGAAACGACATCAGAGACACCGCCATCGTCCGCCAAGACCGCAGTCAGACGCGGTTTTCACCGGAAGCCGTGTCGTCCCGATCTCGCGGCTGGCTAGAACCGTGCGGAGCTTTGCCATAAAGACGTATGTTGCCGCCGGAACTCCGTCGGAGACCCTCCATCCCTTCACCGGGGCCCTCATCGCGCTACCGACCATCCACGTGAAGAATCAACGACGGATCTGGATGGGATCCAGATCCGCGGCCGCCACCATGCACACCATCGCCAGCACCACCAGCCATGGGGTTGTCGGTTGCCACCGCCCGGCCAGGGAGCTGCCCTGGACTCAGCGCAAAGCCCCCAGCCCGAGGTGCCCCAGCCGCCTCGAGTAATTGCCGCCGCCTCCGCCATCCACGTGAAGAAAAAGCCAAGTGACTTTGAAGGGGCACTAATTTGGGTTGGTTATGAATCTCCCCTTTAAAAGATAATGGGTACTAATTTTCTGAAATTGTACCAGAATAAGAACGCAGAATAAAACAATCGAGAAATTGCACTAATTTTTTAACTTTTGCTTTGCCTAAAGGCTAAACTTATCTTCATAAAGAAGGGCCAACATCTACAGCTAGGCATTGCTCCCTGCTTCAGCTAGATCAAGATCTGTAGTAGAAAACTGTTGTCGGTGATGCCAATCACCGATGCACAAACAGGAGAAGTTCACATACTCTAAGTGGGTCTGACGAGCTTAGCTGAGATGGAAGTTGCAAAATCGAGCAACAATATTAAGAGTTTTCTTACGTTTTTGTAGTAGTTTTAACTGAAGCTCAGCTATTGATAAGCAGTTCAAGGTTAGATTACAACTTGTACGGAAATAAGCAAACAGGACAAAGTTTCGGAAATAACCCCATAGGAATCAGTCACTATCAGACTGAAAGTACAATAGACACGCACCTTCTTGAAGTTTTGTGGCATTTCTTCGCCTCTGAAAACTGAGCCTTCACTTCTACAAGTGTGTCAATCTCCTCAGGGTGTTGGTCACAATACCTCACTTGTTCTTTAAGCTTAGGCCTGGAAAAAGAAGATATCCACTGTATAGAATAGTAACTCACATTGTTTACTCTTTTCTGAACCATGCACACTGCTCATACTAATAGTAATTTGTTATTCACGTTATATGATTAGACACTTGCTAAAACTTTTGAAATATTGCACAGATATCACGGAAAGTATCCATTTTCTTGTTTGAGGCTATTGGTAGTAGCACTTATGGCCTCTTCTCCGTTTTTATTTCTTGGTGAAATCCTCCTTAACCCTGTAGATGAAGCCAACTGGAAGTTACTGACCAGCAGACTCGTAGCAACAACACCATATGCACTCTCACATAAAAACTAACTGAATCTGAGCCCCTCGTACATAAGTTTCCTACACTAACTATTCTATCTCTCATACTGAACCACCGTGCAAAAAACACAAAATGCAGTGACTTATCAAGATGAAGATAAAAAGGTGTTATTCACAAAAAACACAACATGGCATTTCCATACCTGCGCAGCTTGGTGGTATGCTCGCAAGATGGACGATGCTGCAGTTGGTGTTGATAGTCATCTGCCCAATCACCACGAAGCAAAATATTCATTGCATCTTGGTCTGGTGTCTCCTCTTACTCCACATTTCACCTATCAAATTCAGCAAGCATGAGTTTATGTTATGAACATTATATACTGGAAAAAGAAGAGTTTGCGGTCACACATACGAAGGAGTTCTTTGTAGAACCAGGACCTGTTATCTGGTACTCTTAGTAACTTCAAGATTCGTGCAAACATTTAAGAGGTGTACAGATGCAAAACTCTTTAAACCAAATTACTAACAGGGTCGATGTTCTGACCATGATATAGTTACAATGCCCTTCCTAGGGAAAACAAAAACAGACTGATGATTGCACATGCCTTATTTTATAAAATATGTAAGATGCTCCCAGAATTAATAAACAGGGTGGAGAAAATAATCCTGGACTTTACGCATCAAAGCAAATTCCAGAACCAACATGATAAATATCACTGGATGGAGAAATGAATCCTGAACCAACGTGCTACTCTTTGCTTATATCCTATTCCTACCCATGTGAGCCTAAGGTACCAAGAAAAAAGAAAAACCTAAAAACTGCAGAGATGGATACTTCGATGCATATATTTTGTAGGCTGCATATACATGGGATGTATATATGCTTATTAAATTATATGTGCATTTGGAACAACCAAATCTTCCCACCTCTCCACTGACCGCAACACCTTCCTGAGGGACCCGATGCACTAATTCACCACTCTGCACCTCCCAAGTCCCAAGCGACCCTCGGACATACCTTGGTAGGAGTTGGCCAGTGTGGCAACAAGC